ACCGGAAACTGTCTTTTCTTTTGTAAAATAGCAACTCTTAGATTTATGTCGACCCAAACTGTCCCGCTCGCACAGAAGCTGGAGTTTGGTTTCCTTACATTCGTAGTAATCCTACTCGATGTGAAGTTTTATGACAAGTTAGAAGACTGTTCTTCTTGGATTATTCCCAAGTGTCTTTATGACTTTTGAAGCGCAAGATAACCACTCAACTATGTCTCTTAACTGCATAAATAGGAAGCTATAAAAGCTTTTCAAAAAAGGTTCCAGTTGGGTTTCAAGCTTGTCAAGTGACAGCTAGAGAAGATGAGCCCAAACACAGAACTCTATGTTGAAGCCCGTCATTGTATGCCTTTCCAAACAGTATGTTTCAAAAAATCTTAGACATGTTGCACCACAAAAACATCTTAAAGGAACCCTCTTTTTTTCTTGCATTGTGCTGGAATTCCTCAAACGAACATCTCACCTTTTCAGTTTAGCAATAAAATCAAATTAGATAGTTTTTTTTAATCTTCGAAGTTCGAGTCAACTGTCTCCAGTACTCTCGATTTAAGGCATGATGTTCGTCTATCGCAAGCTCTTTCAGGTCACCTCTAATTCTGTCCATCCACCTCATCTTTGATCTTCTCCGTGGCATTTTTCCAGCGACCTCCAGAGACATGGCCATTCTTGTGATGCGGTTCTCTTCTCTTCTACTCACATGCCCGTACCATCGCAGTCGTTTTTCCTGCATTTTCTTAACGATGGGAACAACTTTCATCCTTGCATGAACTGTGTCATTACAGACATGATCTAGCAGAGTAAAACCCAACGTCCAATTCTTGTCTCCATGACACTAGGCTTCTGTTCTTTATTTCGCATATTGGGCCAACATTCGCTGCCATACAGCGCTGTGGGACGGATCACAGTACGGTATATCTGGGATTTTAGTTGTACTGGCATTTGCTTAGACTCGCACTCGCATAGAACTCCTGCGAAAGTTCTCCATTTCATCCAGGATGTGTTTATCTTGGCAGATATATCATCATGAAGGCCTCCATCGCCAGAGTATCTTCCTAGGTACTTGAAGGTACTCGTTTTCTTGATTGCTCATCGTTGTATATTGTATCTGAAGTTTGACCTCCCACTTCCACATGTTCTATCTTCTTTGTGTTAAGCTTTAAGCCGTACGACCCTAATTGGTCCTGCCATCTCTGTGCATTTTCTTCAAGTTCTTTTCTGTTTTCTGCTATCAACACCACATCATCTGCATACAGGAGAGCCCATGGAGGCTGTCGCTTGAGACCTTCCGTCATTGCATCCATAACTGTGATGAAGAGTAGAGGAGAGAGCACTGATTCCTGATGTATGTCTCTATGCGGAATGGTTTTGATTGTCCTGCCGCAGTTTTTACATGGCTCGTGGCTCCGTGATAGATCATTTTTATCCATTGGATGTATACTTCTGGAACCATGTGCTTCCGCAGTGCCCACCATATGGCATCATGGGGTACCTTGTCGAAAGCTTTCTCCACATCAAGGGAAGTCACATGCAGCTCTCTTCGTTATCTATACTTCTCCATCACTATCCGTACAGTATGAATAGTGCCAACAGTACCGGCTTCCTTTACAAATCCGCACTGATTGGATGGCAACTCTATGATCGCTCGAAGTTGTGTTTCAAGTACTCTTTCGAAGATTTTCAGAGTGTGGTTATCAGCCGGATTGGCCGATACGTTGAACAATCTGCGATATCGCCTTCATTTTTCCATATCGGAATCGTTGTGCTCTTTGACCGATCACGGGGCTTAGCTTTGATGACCTGATTGAAGAGGCCTGCAAGCCATAAGGCACCCGCATTTTTTTCCATTTTCGCTTTGGTATGTCATCTGGACCAGAAGCCTTGCCGTACTTTGTCCTTGTTACAGCAAGCCATACTTCTTCTGCTGTTATGAGTATTACTGGTCCTCTCAAAGGGTCAGCTAATCGGATGGCTGTGCACTGCTGGTAGTAGTTGATATTTCTTCGAAGTACGTTCGTCATCTCTTATTTCTTGTGGTCTTCGTAACGTTTTTCCAATCTTATCCT